GCAGCCGACAATGAGACGATTGTTGTTGATGACCCCTACGAGGCACGCATGGCTACGCTTGCGACCTCTCTTCCGGGATCTGGCCTTGCAGAGCACGTCGCCACGGCGTGGGACCTGTCCATCGGCGAGACAGCCGACGTCAATACGACCGTGGTGCTGTCTGAGGGCACGATGCCACTCACGGTCTCGGTCGACTTTGGTCTTGCCGCTGGTCGCGTCGAGATCGTCCACACCGAGGTTGCTGCGCTCGGGGCTTCGATCTCAGGCTCGGCGCTCAGTCTGGGTGCAGCAGCCTCGGCAACCACAACCGACACGGCGACATACGCGTTTGGCACCATCACCAATACCGGCGACAACGTCCTTGACGCTGGCGATAGCGTTGTGGTTCTGACCCGCGTCCGTGCTCTTGACGTCCCGGTCAACGTCGACGGCACTGCCATCAGCGCAGCTTCGACTGTTGACTTTGGCTCGTCGTCCCTCACTGCAAGCGAGTCGTTCGATGTGGTGGCCCCACTCCTCACGTTCGACCTCGCTCAGTCGATCACGACTGGTGACGCTGGCGACAATGTGACCTTCACCGTCACGGTCGACCATGCTGGTGCGTCGACGGCGGCGGCGTATGCGCTCAACGCTACGTCACTGTTCAACATCGAGTACGCCCTGTTCTCGGGCTCGGTCACCACCACCTCTGGTACTGTTGTATCTGGCAACAATGCCGGTGATGCGTCGGTCCATGTCCTCATCCCGACGTTCGATCTGGGGACTGGCCCTATCACCATCACGTACGTCGCGGCGCTGACAGACTTTGTCTCGCCGCATCAGACGACGTGGCACGCATCTGCGCTCGAGTACGACACCTCGCCTGAGGCTGCTGTTGCACGCACCCTTGCAGCAGCCGACAATGAGACGATTGTCGTTGATGACCCCTACGAGGCACGCATGGCTACGCTTGCGACCTCCCTTCCGGAATCTGGTACTGCCCAGTACGTTTCAACCAACTGGGATCTTGCTGTTGGCGAGACGGCGGACATCAACACAACTGTTGTTCTGTCCGAAGGCACTCTGCCCTTAACCGTTGACGTTACGGTAGACATCGGAGCCCTCGTCGTCGAGACCGAGGTCATGGTGGTCGGATATAGCTTGTCTGGCTCGTCGCTCTCTGCGGGTGACATTGCCACAAGCTTTGGTGCCAGCTCGGCCACCTTTGACTTCGGAACCGTGATCAACACGGGTGACAATGTGGTCGACGATGGGGACATCGTTGTAATGCGTATTCGTGTACTCATTGTTGATATAGTGGCGATCACACCTGGTAGTATGATATCCACTGTGGCAACTGCTAACTACGGCACTGGCCTTCTCGTTGCGCAAGAGACGTTCGATATGGTCCAGCCTGCGCTGCTTTACAACGTCGCTCAGGCGATCACGACTGGTGACGCTGGCGACAATGTGACCTTCACCATTACGGTCGACCACGCTGGCGCGTCGACGGCGGCGGCGTATGCGCTCAACGCTACGTCACTGTTCAACATCGAGTACGCCCTGTTCTCGGGCTCGGTCACCACCACCTCTGGTACTGTTGTATCTGGCAACAATGCCGGTGATGCGTCGGTCCATGTCCTCATCCCGACGTTCGATCTGGGGACTGGCCCTATCACCATCACGTACGTCGCGGCGCTGACAGACTTTGTCTCGCCGCATCAGACGACGTGGCACGCATCTGCGCTCGAGTACGACACCTCGCCGGAGGCTGCTGTTGCACGCACCCTTGCAGCAGCCGACAATGAGACGATTGTCGTTGATGACCCCTACGAGGCGCGTATGGCTACGTTGTCGACATCTCTCACCGAGACAGGACTTTCGCAGCACGACATGACCAACTGGGATCTTGCTGTTGGCGAGACAGCCGACGTCAACACGACCGTGGTGCTGTCTGAAGGCACAATGCCACTCACAATCTCGGTCGATTTTGGTCTCGCTGCTGGTCGCGTCGAGATCGTCCACACCGAGGTTGCTGCGCTCGGGGCTTCGATCTCAGGCTCGGCGCTCAGTCTGGGTGCAGCAGCCTCGGCAACCACAACCGACACGGCGACGTACGCGTTTGGCACCATCACCAATACCGGCGACAACGTCCTTGATGCTGGCGATAGCGTTGTGGTTCTGACCCGCGTCCGTGCTCTTGACGTCCCGGTCAACGTCGACGGCACTGCCATCAGCGCAGCCTCGACTGTTGACTTTGGCTCGTCGTCCCTCACTGCAAGCGAGTCGTTCGATGTGGTGGCCCCGCTCCTCACGTTCGACCTCGCTCAGTCGATCACGACTGGTGACGCTGGCGACAATGTGACCTTCACCGTCACGGTCGACCATGCTGGTGCGTCGACGGCGGCGGCGTATGCGCTCAACGCTACGTCACTGTTCAACATCGAGTACGCCCTGTTCTCGGGCTCGATCACCACCACCTCTGGTACTGTTGTATCTGGCAACAATGCCGGTGATGCGTCGGTCCATGTCCTCATCCCGACGTTCGATCTGGGGACTGGCCCTATCACCATCACGTACGTCGCGGCGCTGACAGACTTTGTCTCGCCGCATCAGACGACGTGGCACGCATCTGCGCTCGAGTATGGCACCTCGCCGGAGGCTGCTGTTGCACGCACCCTTGCAGCAGCCGACAATGAGACGATTGTTGTTGATGACCCCTACGAGGCACGTATGGCTACGCTTGCGACCTCCCTTCCGGAGTCTGGTACTGCAGAGCACGTCGCCACGGCGTGGGACCTGTCCATCGGCGAGACAGCCGACGTCAATACGACCGTGGTGCTGTCTGAGGGCACGATGCCACTCACGGTCTCGGTCGACTTTGGTCTCGCTGCTGGTCGCGTCGAGATCGTCCACACCGAGGTTGCTGCGCTCGGGGCTTCGATCTCAGGCTCAGTGCTCAGTCTGGGTGCAGCAGCCTCGGCAACCACAACCGACACGGCGACGTACGCTTTTGGCACCATCACCAATACCGGCGACAACGTCCTTGGCGCCGGTGACGTTGTAGTGGTTCTGACCCGCGTCCGTGCTCTTGACGTCCCGGTCAACGTCGACGCCACCGTCATCAGCGCAGCCTCGACTGTTGACTTTGGCTCGTCGTCCCTCACTGCAAGCGAGTCGTTCGATGTGGTGGCCCCACTCCTCACGTTCGACCTCGCTCAGTCGATCACGACTGGTGACGCTGGCGACAATGTGACCTTCACCGTCACGGTCGACCATGCTGGTGCGTCGACGGCGGCGGCGTATGCGCTCAACGCTACGTCACTGTTCAACATCGAGTACGCCCTGTTCTCGGGCTCGGTCACCACCACCTCTGGTACTGTTGTATCTGGCAACAATGCCGGTGATGCGTCGGTCCATGTCCTCATCCCGACGTTCGATCTGGGGACTGGCCCTATCACCATCACGTACGTCGCGGCGCTGACAGACTTTGTCTCGCCGCATCAGACGACGTGGCACGCATCTGCGCTCGAGTATGGCACCTCGCCGGAGGCTGCTGTTGCACGCACCCTTGCAGCAGCCGACAATGAGACGATTGTTGTTGATGACCCCTACGAGGCACGTATGGCTACGCTTGCGACCTCTCTTCCGGGATCTGGCCTTGCAGAGCACGTCGCCACGGCGTGGGACCTGTCCATCGGAGACGGCGGACATCAACACAACTGTTGTTCTGTCCGAAGGCACTCTGCCCTTAACCGTTGACGTTACGGTAGACATGCCGCTGGTCGCGTCGAGATCGTCCACACCGAGGTTACTGCGCTCGGGGCTTCGATCTCAGGCTCAGTGCTCAGTCTGGGTGCAGCAGCCTCGGCAACCACAACCGACACGGCGACGTACGCGTTTGGCACCATCACCAATACCGGCGACAACGTCCTTGACGCCGGTGACGTTGTAGTGGTTCTGACCCGCGTCCGTGCTCTTGACGTCCCGGTCAACATCGACGACACTGCCATCAGCGCAGCCTCGACTGTTGACTTTGGCTCAGGCACGCTTGTTGCAAGCGAGTCGTTCGATGTGGTGGCCCCACTCCTCACGTTCGACCTCGCTCAGTCGATCACGACTGGTGACGCTGGCGACAATGTAACCTTCACCATCTCAGTCGACCATGCAGAGATTTCCACTGCCGCCTCCTACCTTGTCAACATTTCTGTTGCGCTTCCGCCCACACAACTGGTTCTTGATCCTCTTTCGGTTGTTGCCTCGACTGGTCTCGTCTCCCTCACGCCGACCTCTCTCCTGGTTTCCATCCCCAGTTTCGCGCTGACCTTTGGTCGCCACACCATTGTCTACACAGCAGTCATTTCTGACGCCGCGACTCCGCTGCAGAACATCACCCATGTCGCCGTCCTCGACTACGCCTCATCAGCGCGTGGCGACCGGCGCTATACCGTCTCCGACGCCGTCTCCGTGAGCGTGGATCCTCTCGCTGCAAATGCTACCTTGGCAGTTGCTGCAACATCGGTTGCTGATGTTCGCGAACCGGTCCGGCTTGTGGGGGAGCGTGTCTTCTTCAACCTTACCGCCACGCTGCCGGAAGGCTCGATGTCATTCGCACTCGTCCTGAGCGCGTCGGACGCCGCGCCATTGATCTTTGTCGCTGCCTCGGTCTCACGCGTCGGCCACTCGTTGGCACCCACGTCTCTCCTTGCCAGTGGCGATCTTCCCACCGCGGCTTCTGACCACGATCTCCTCTTCGACTTTGGGGTAGTTACCAACATCGGCGACAACGTTGTCAACGATGATGATCGTGTCGTACTCGCCATCGAAGCCTACGTTCCCGACAACATTGCCGCTGCAAACTCTGGTGCAGGCTGGCTCAACGCAACTGCTCACTTTGGGTCTGTTGTGCGCTCGCTGCAGAACGACTTTGTTGTTGCTGACTCGCCTGCTGTCGACCTTCATGTAGCAACCAACGTGACCGCAGGTGCCGATGGTAACGATGCGGTTGCGTTTACTGTCACTGTAGACAACAACCATCCACTCGCTTCGGCGCCGCTTTTCGGCTTCAATCTCTCCATTCCTATGGACGATGGCCTGTTTGAGTACGTGCCAGGCACGTTCGCCTCATCGCTGGCTGATGTGGCCCTCGTTGCGCCAAGCCTGCCGAGTGTTCTTGTCTTTGCCACATCGCACGACACCGCTCTTGCCTACGGCTCCTCTCTCAACATCTCGTTTGTTCTTCGCCTCACTTCTTCGGTCACACCTCTTGCAAACATCAGCCGCGAGCTCCGTGCTCTCTGGACATCGGTCCCGCGCCTAGATCACCCTGCGCACCGCACCCACTCTGCCACGGTCGTCTCGCCTATTGTCCCCGTTGCGGCGCATGGTCTCGCCTTCAACCTCTCGTCGTCATCCTTTGCCGAGACATGGCCTGACTCGACGCTTGCTATTGGCGAGAACTTTGTCCTGACGGCTACCTTTGATCTGGCCGAGTCGACCACTAACCTCACCTTTGTTGTTCATGCTCCTTCCGGTGTGGCACTTCTCGGGGCCGCTGTTCGCTCCATCGGCTCGGGCGTCTTTTCGCCCGTCCTTGTTCCAGGTTCGTCGCCGTCACAGCTCTCCGACTCGACTGCTGCCTTTGTCTTTGGCCACCTCGTCGTTGCCGGCGATACCGCCGCGACGTCTATCGTAATCGATATTTTCGCTGCCGTCAATGCTGACTCAGCTGTCTTGCTGCCGGGCGCCACGGTCGTGGGCGAGATCCTTTCCGAGCAGCACGTTGCTGTCGCCCTCGATCTGACATTTGTTCAACCTCTGCTTGAGCTCTCGCCTCTGGCCTGCTCGCCTGCTGTCTATGATGCTGGTGATGTCATCACCTGCTCAGTCGACATTGCCCATGCCCTGGGCTCATCCGCACCCGCAACCAACATCACCCTCTACTCGCCCAGCATCGACACCCTTGACTTTTCACCGCATGGCGCCACTGCTCTTGATCTTGCTCTTGATCTTCCGCTCACTCTCGTCGAGGCTGTCCGCACTGTCGTCTTCTCTGCCACCGCCACCATGGCCACCTCACCCGGCCTCAACGTCTCCATTCCACTGGCGGCCAACTACTCGTCGGTGCCACTGCCCGCGCCCGCTGCCCGTATCGCAGTCGCTGATGCACCGGCCCACGTCCGCACCTTCTCGCTGGCGCCGCAACCAACGTGAGCATGCACGTCGTCGCCACCTCGATTCCACATTATGGCCTTGTTGCCCCTGGTGAGGTTGTCACCCTCCGTCTCGCCTTCAATGCGATCGAGGGCACCACCAACGCAACCGGGTTGCTTGACCTATCGCTGACGGATGCCGTGTGGCGCTCAGCGTTGCCCTTTGCCGCCTCGTCGGCCGTGGCCCATGCTCCATACGCCACTGTAGGCATCGCTTCGTCGGCCCTGAGCCTCGGCTCGATTATCAGCAACACTGCGGACAACTTTGTCTCGTTTGCCTCAGACGGTGCGGGATGGGACCTCGCATTCCAACTAGTCGACGCGCCGGCGCTTGCTAACGGCACGCTCCTCACTCTGTCTGGTGCGCTCTCTGATGACGCTGGCCTAGTGGCACCGTCACCGGTTGCCCTCTCATGGACTGTTGCCCGAGCCACCATCGCTTCCTCGCTCGCAGCTAACGCTACGGTGATCGATGCCGGTGACGTCATCACCTACACCCTCAGCATCGCGCACCTTGCAGGCTCGATCACTCCTGCCTACATAGCGTTTGCCGACCAAGCCCCGCAGCACACCAAGCTGCTTGACGGCTCCCTCGCAGCTGGCTGGACTGGCGGCCCGCCCGGATCCGTCGTGTTTGGACCCGCTTTGGCCTGGTCTGCCACCCTACCGCCGGGCTCGGTCCTTACCATCTCGTACTCGGTCATCGCTCTCTCATCGCTCCCGCCGCACACTACCGTCACCAACTCGGATGTGCTCACTTGGGCCTCAGCCCCGTTGTCGGTGCCACTTGCTGTGCGTGGGGAAGAGGCCCTCGTCTCCAACTCGGTCGCCGTTGAATCTTCTGTCCCGGGCCTCCCATTGGTGACTCCCACTGCCTCAGCATCGCCTCTTTCCGCGCTGGACACTCAGCTGGCTGTTGGCGAGTTGGTCAACGTCTCTGTTGCGGTCACACTTCCAGAAGGCTCGCACAACCTCTCCATCGCCATCAACACCACCGACTCGATTCTCACCATCGAGTCGCTTTCTCTGTTCTCCGTCGGGTCCTCGCTCTTGCTGCCGTCGCCGCTCTCTGCTGGCTGGCACATCTCCTTGCCGCCGAGCACCTTTGCCAAGTCGCTTGACCTGTCTACCACCATCAACGAGCCCGACAATGTCGCTAGTTCTGGTGACGTAGTCGAGCTCATTTTGGGACTGCGTCCGACAGGGCCGCTTGCTGTTGCTCACCTACCTGTTGCGCTTGGTGTGCGGCTTATCTATCCGCAGTTGGCTCATCCCGTTGTTGAACACACGTGGATGCTCGTGGAGCCGTCGCTTACGGTCAACATTACCCGTGACGTTGCTGTTGTCGATCACGGCTCGCGGCTAGTTGCCCGTGTTTGTGGCGGGCAGACGGCCTCGGCCTCGACTCCAGCGCCGAATTTCATTGTGCATCTTGGCCACGGGCCTGAATTAGCCTTTGTGAGCATCATGCCGATGTCGGCAGCCGCTGCCGCCACTCTCGCGACGACTCGAAGCACTACTGGTAGCTTGCATCTCCAGTTGGGCCATGTCGACGTCGGTGTACAACTCTGCTTTGACGTCGCCTTTGACGTCACCGCCGCCGTCGTTGATGTGACTAACGTCACTATCGTCGCCAACGTGTCATGTCTCTCGCTGCCTCTGCCGCACCCGACTGCCCGGACCTATCAGGCTCCCACGGTCTCCGCCACTGCAGTGGCGCCGCGGCCGTGGGCCTTTGATATCCAGCTCATCTCCGAGCTGCCGGACACTACCGACACAGCATCGCCTGGTGGTTTGTACACCATGGCGCTCGGCGAGCGCGGCGTACTTCGCATCACCGTTGGCCTGAAGGACGTCGCTGCACCAATTGTTGTCAACGGTAGCATCGGTGCGACACTCCCGATTGTGGCCACTTCGGTTGCCCGCGTCGGGTCCGAGATCGCAGCGCCTGGCCTCGCCTCTCTGCCAAGCCCTAGTCTCGCCAATGGTACGTGGGTGTGGCACGTTGACCTGGGTACGGCGCGTGGTGGCCGCTCCTCGGCCTCCTTCTCGCCATCCTCGTCACTCGATCTTGACCTCGAGTTTGTCATGCCAATCGATCTTCCATCGCGCTGCCTGCCTTTCAACATATCCCTCTCGTTTGGAGTCGCTTCGGGTGCAACGCTCGATTTGGGTGTGGTCATCTGCGCTGCCGCGCCAGAGGTCGCGCTAGCGGTTGTTTCGGTGGAACCATCCCTGCTGAGTCGGGCCCGGTCGCTTGCCGAGGCACCTTTCCGTGTCGATGGCGCCGACAACGTGGCGTGGGACATTGTCCTCTCCACCTCGCTAGGCCCGGCGTATGGCCAGCTGGTAGTCACCGTCCCAGCCGACCTTGACTCGATCACCTTTGCCTCGGACACCCCTGCTGTGCTCTCTGCCACTGGCCTGGTCCCGGCAACCGAACGAGCGCAAACTTGGAGCGTAGCCACCAACGCGTCGCTCAGCTCGGGACAGGAGGTGCGCCTTCGTGTGAGTGCCGTTGTTGCGCCGACCGTCGCCCACCTGAAGCTTCTTGTGGTCAACGCCACCTTTGAGCAACGGTCACTGCCGCTCGGATCGGAGCAGCCCGCGGTCGGTGCAAACGTAGCATTGCTCGAGGCAAGAGCCGCCATCCGGGTAGCTGCTGCACTGCAGCTCGACCTATCTCTAGTGGCGACATCTGATCCACGCTCCACGAGCGCGCTGCTCAACGCCTCGATTCCCGATCTGGTGGTTGGCGAGAGCTTCGTGGCTCGCGTGCGGATCGTGACCATGGAGGGCTCCAACGGGTTTGAGCTCGTTCTCTCGCAGCTCTTCGCCCCGTCGCCTTTCCCGGGTGCCACCCTTGGCCTCCACAACGTCACCATGATTTCTGTGGGAGCATCGCACATCGGCGCTGCGCTCGATTCGTTTGTCGCTACCACGCGTGCAGACGCTTCCAGCATCGTTGTCGTGTACGCGCCATCGGGCGAACCCGCGCCTCTAGTTAACGTTGCCGACAACGTCATCGACGCTGGTGACATCATTGAGCTCGAGGTCTCGGGTAGAATGAGCCTGCCGCCTGACGAAAGGTCAGAAGTCGCGCCAGGAGTGACTATGCTCCTCGCCGAGATGTCCGGTCACAATCTGACGGCGCAGCTGCAGTTTGACGTTCTGGCCGAGTCTGCAGTTCGCGCCACGCCGGTTGCCCGCACACCGCGGTCATACTGGTTCATTCTTGTTGCGGCAGTTGTCCTCTTTCTCACGCTCTGCTGCCTCTGCTGTCTCTGGATGGTGTGCCTCGACTCTGAGGATCGTGATAGCAAGGTGCTCGTGGTGGAGCCGGGCTCGGGCACGGCTGTGCCAGGCATGATTGTGCAATCGCCGTCGCACGTAGAAGGACCGGCCATGGCAACGTATGTCACACCGCCAATGGCAAGGACAGCATCGACCGAGTGGCAGCCCGACGGCAGCCCCGGCGCCCCCGACCGCTTCCATGCCAAGAGGCCGACGCCACTGCGGGTGGCCAAGCTGCATGTGGCAGCGCCCGATGTCCAGCAGGCCAGCATGCTCCCGGGCGGCATCCCTCTGCCATCGCCAGCCGAAAGCATTAGCTCCTCCGGTCGGGTGTCGCCGTGCCTCATGCCGCTTCGTACGCCGGACGGGACGACCAAGGCCTTTGATCCGCTGGCAGGCGGGCTGACGGCTCTGCCGGCATTCCCGGCTTCGATGCGGGCAGCTGCGTCGCTCTCGACGTCGTCGTCATCGCTGTCAGACCAGTCTGACTTTGAGTCTGCGTCGTCGATGCCATCGGGCGGGACGAGTCGCTCTGCTGCCGCCGGCTGGTCGCAGACGTCGCGACAAGCAAGCGCGACGTCATCAGAGCTGTCGTTCCGTAGCCGACTGGAGCGGGTCGACGAGCTCATTGACACTGCGTCGACGTCGACGTATGATGGCGACATCGGACTGGACGTTCAGAGCTTGACGTCGGCGACTCCGGCAGCAGTGGCCGCCCTTCGCGGCAGGGCTGGACTGGCTGGCATCAGCACGTCGTCGGTAGCGTCGGTGTCATCGGTTGGGTCCCGTGGGCTTCGACGATCGTCGCTCTCGGTTCGCAAGTTTGAAGTTGCCGCATCATCGCGGTCATCTGGCATGACCGGCTCGACCTCGAGCTCGTCAACGTCGGGCCTCTCGACCGGCTCACTGTCGGGGAGCGAACCAGCCTCGCCGCGGCCCGCCAGTGCTATTCAGGCACGGGCTCTGGCGGCACTGGCCGGCCCGTCGCCGGCGTCGCGCGGCGAGCTGAGTCTAGGCATCAGCGGGCCGCGACGACGGCCAGTGAGTACACCAGCGTTCCCGTCAAGCGTGGGCCGTCGAGACGATCCGCTGTCGGCGCTTGTGAGCAGCCCTGTGGCAGAAAAGGAGTAAACTACTGCTGTCCAGTACGCCTTTTACTTTAGCAGAGCGATCACGATGGAAGCAGCGCCTCGCGCGGCGGCCAAGCCGAGTTGAGCATGCGATGCTGCTTGGCGTCGACCCAGAGCTTCATGGCGACGAGGAGGAAGGAGCGATCGGCACGAAAGGCGGCGTCGAGCTTGGCCTTGGACGAGACCCTGGCCTTGATAAGCGGCTGCAGAACAACGTTGATCTTGGCGTGCATCCACGGCTTGGTCACAAACGACGGGTCTGCGGTAAAGTGTGGCGCAAGCTTGGCCATGGTCTTGGGATACATGGTGCCGTCAAGCATGGCGAGGGCAATGTAGCGGTAGAGGTCGGGATTGTCGGGATGGGCGGCGACGACAAGAGGGAGAGGCCACGAGTGCGGGCCGAACGAGCCGCGGCGGTAGGCCATGACGGCGTCGGCGCTAGCATCGTAGAACGGGGCCGGCTGCTCGAGCGGAGAGCCGAGGGTGACGAGCGGCCGGGCGAGGAGGACGAGCCATTGCGGATCGAGGACCGTGACGCCGCGCATAAAGGTGCGCGAGGTAGTAAAAATCTCTTGGAAAGTGATCCACTCGGGCAACTTGTCGATGAGCGCCGCGTTCTTGGCCGCCTGGGAGCCGCGACCCTTAGCAGCCTTGGACTGACGGGCGCGGAGCTGCGGCGAGAGGAGCGACGAGGGATGGAGGTAGGCCACAATCTGCTCGCCCGAGTCCGGGAGCGAGACCAGATACCCGCCACGAGCGTACGACGGATGTCCAGGACAGCGGTAGGCCACGTTGTCGAGAAGGCCTGCGGTGACAGCCTGGGCGAGGGCACGGAGAGTGGCACGCGACGGCGGCGGCACTTCGGCCAGCGAGGCGGCGAGTTCGAAAGCGGCGCCCGAGCCAAGCGCAGCGCGTGGTCCGCGCGGCGCAGACGCATCGACCGGCGCCTCGGGCGCCATCATGGCGTTGGCAATCGAGGTCAGCTGGCGCCGGAGGGCGGCCACCTCTTTCATGGCCTTGTACATGAGCCCATACTTGTCGCAGAACTCGGGCGTGCAGCCAGAAAACTCAAAGCCACCGACGGCCTTGAGCAGGGCAAAGAGATCAGAGTCGACGTCAAAGAACGCAAGCTGGGCAGCGAGCGACGGGGTACCAACCGCCGACTTGTTACCCGACTCGCCGGCAGCCGCAGCCAAAGTCTTCAGCTCGATCTCTTTGGTAGCGGCCGCCGATGGCGCGGCTTCATCGTTTCCGTCGTCCGAGTCCGAGTCGACCTTGGCGTCCGCATCGGCGTTGACGTCCGAGTCTGTGGCGCGCTTGAACGGCGAGTTGACCGAGATGGCGGCGACGAGGGCGATGGCGTGCGGAAGGAGCTCGGGTGTCCAGGCCATAGTGAGCATCTTGGCGTAGCGCGGCGCGACTGGGAACGAGACAAGAGTGCGGCCGAGCGGAGTGATGCGCTCGTTGTCCGGGTGGAGGGCGCCAAGACGGACGAGGTGGGCAATGGCGGCGGCAACGGCATTGGCTGACGGCGGCGAGGGGAAGGGAAAGTTGATGACCTTGTCGATGCGCATGGCCTTCATCTGCAGGACCATGCCGTCGATGGGCATGCGGGTAATTTCAGGCGACGAGAACTGCGAAAAGTGGTTGTTGAAGACCGCGGACGAGTAGAGCCGGTAGCAGTGGCCCGGACCCGTGCGGCCGGCGCGCCCGGCGCGCTGGTCGGCGTTGGCCTTGGAAATCCAGTCGATCTCAAAGGTCGAGAGGCCCGACGATTGGTAGTAGACCCGCTGCTTGGCGAGCCCGCAGTCGACCACGTACTTGACCGACGGAATAGTGAGTGAGGTCTCGGCTACGTTGGTTGAGACCACAATGAGCCGGGTGCCCTCGGGCACCGGCTCAAAGACCTTCATCTGCGCAGACGTCGGCATGCGCGAGTAGAGGCCGAGGACCCGGGCCGGGCCGGTCTCAGCCCGGATCTTGATGGCCGAACGGAGCTCGGCGACGAGCCGCTTAATGTCGGCCTCACCGGTGAGAAAGACAAGGATGGCGCCCGACGGAAGCGAGTCGTGAATCTTGAGCACCTTGGTCTTGGCCGCGCCGACGTGGTCGGCAAGCGGTGTCCGCTTGTTAAAGTGGATGGTGACTGGAAACTGCCGGGCCTGGACGTTGACCACTGGCGGCGGAACCGGGAACAGCAGCTGGTTCTCGGTAAAGTCGGTGACCCGGAGTGTGGCCGACATGATGATGAGCTTGAGCGGAAAGGCCGGAAGCTTGAGCTTGGGGTACTTTTCAGGCGCGGCCCGGATGCGTACAATGCGCGAGAGCAGGCCGATGAGAATGTCGGTGTTGAGCCCCCGCTCGTGCGCCTCGTCGAGTACAATGGCCGAGTACTTGGCGAGCGCAAAGTCGGCTTGGATCTCGCGGAGGAGGACACCGTCGGTCATAAACTTGATGGCCGTCGTCGGCGTTGCGTTCGCCTCGTACCGGACCTGGAACCCAACACCCGCACCGAACGGGACGTTGAGCTCGTCGGCGACACGTTTGGCCATCGCCATGGCCGCCACACGCCGCGGCTCGGTGACCCCAATGATGCCCGGCTTGTCGCTGCCTGGATCGCCGTAGCCAGCCTCGTAGAGGAACTGCGGGACCTGGGTCGTCTTGCCAGACCCGGTCTCACCGCATACGATGATAGTCGGGGAAGCCGTCACTGCCTCCATGATGGTGTGCTCTTCTGCGACAACTGGCAGCTTGGACCGGACCTCCTGGATCTCGGGCCGGCGCGAGACACGGCGGACGTACGTGGTCTGCGCCGGCATCGCCGGGCCCTCGGGCATCCCGCACGCCTCCAGTGTGCTCTCGAGCGTCGGTGCGCTCGATAGCTTGTAGCCGACAGGGAGCTTCGACGTCGGTGCGGCATCGGAACCAGTCCCAGAGCCAGTCCCGGAGCCAGACGCTTCATCCATGTCGACCACCCCCGATGCCTCCTCGCTGGCGGACGCCTCATCGGCAGACGCCTCGCCGGCAGACGCCTCTCCCACCGACTCGCCATCGCCCGAGCTCGACTCGGACGACTGGGCGACGTCGACCTGGGTCACGCCCGTCGACCACGAAAAGCTAAACCCGGCCTTGTTGACACCCTTGACAGACGAGATCTTGCGCGGCTGCGAAGGCTTCTTGGTTGCTGCTCCGGCAGCCATGCCGGTCACGCTGGCGTCTTCGGCAAAGGCCGGCGCAGCCTCAAAGGCCGAGACTGGCGCCGGCTTGGGCTCATTCTGAGCCTGAGCCTGAGCCTGAGCCTGAGCCTGAGCCTGAGCCTGAGCCTGAGCCTTCTTCGCCTTGGCCTTGGCCTTGGCCTTGGCCTTGGCAAGCGGCTTGGTCGGCGTCTTGCCAGCCGATGGGGCGGTGAAGAACGCCGCCAGATCCATGCCAGGGCCGTTGTCATAGTCAAACTCGTCGCCGCTCCCATCGCCACCGCTCGACTCATCATCGCTGGCTGGGCCAAAATGCTCAGCCGGAGTAGTCGGCGTGTCAACAGGTGAGACCTCACGCTCGACGTAGAGGCGGGCCTTGGCGGCGGTGGCAGCGTCGAGAATGCCGGCGCGTTCGCGCTTGATGGCATCGCTCAGGCGGGCCCTGGCCGACTTTGAAGAGCCACGAGCATGAGATGGAACCATAAGATCCAAGGCTTCGGCTGGAGCAGCCACCTCTGCCAGCTTTGCCAGCAGGCGCTCTCTGCGACGGATCTTCCTCCGCTTCTTGGCATCGTGGACCTTGCGGCGCACCTCCGAGTCGCGCAGCTCATGCTCTGCCGTCTCGACACGAAACAGAGCCTTTGCAGCCGCCTTCTCCTTCGCCTTCTCCTTCCTCCTCTTCCGTGCAGTCAGCGACTCCTCCTTCTGCCGCTCTCCAGCCATTGGCTCGCTCAGCTGGTCAGCCCCAACACGTCCCGCTTCAGGATCCAAAAGATGGCCACTCCCATCCGCCGACCCGGAGGGAACCGAGTGACTGGGCATGGCCATGGACTTGGACTTGGACTTGGACTTCTTGGACTTGGACTTGGACTTGGACTTGGACTTGGACTTCTTCTGTGGCCGTGTATCGTCAGAACTGGATCCTCCCCCGGCAGGGGCGGTGGGGAGCGTCCCCGTTCGCGTCCGCTTACGCTTGCGCTTGGGTTTGTAGCCGAGCATGAGACGAGTGATAATAGCCGAATTCAATCCATTGCCGAACCACCATCAACATTGCCCACGCAGGGGAAAAGGGGGGAGGGGGGGAGAGGGAATACATGTTGTTTGATCAGAGAGGCAAAGCCAGCGTGCCCCATCAACTACAACTGCGTCTACAAACATCAAAAGCCTGCCTGCAACCATGCGCCGAGCTCGTCCCTCGCAACGACTGGGCAAGAGCGCAGGCCTCTACAATCACTACAGCTTGCGAAGCTCGAGGAAGCCTTCGCCAGGCGCCTCGCCCTTGTATGAGAGGGCGATGCGGGCGTTGGCAGGAAGCGAGAGAAAGTCGATGAGGGTGAGACCCGTGACGTTACCTGACGGGTGGTCGTCGATGGCGGCAAGACGGCCAGACGAGTGGTGGATGACGTACGATGACGAGTTGACGGCAGAAAGCACCGGCTCACCATTGACCAGCAGCTGGATGGAGGGCTTGGCGGCGGAAAAGAATCCGGCCGAGACCTGGTAGAGGCCTGGAAGAGTGGCCACGAGATTGACCTTGTCCTTGCCCCACACGAACACGTCAGGCGCCGAGTTGAGGATCTGCACGTTCCACGGAATGCCGTGTCCTCCCTTGGTCTTGCCGGACTTCCACAACCAGCGGCCGACCATGAGCTCGGCCGAAAGCGCCTCCAGGACGCGGCCCTGCTCCGAATCGATGCGCGCCACGTCGGCCAGCGGCGCTTTGGCCGCCAGCTCATTGGTCACGCTCGCCAGCGCGCGGTTGACGTCGTCAACCGATGCCTTGGCGTCGGTCAGTGTGATGACGTCCTGCAGCGACGCCTTGAGTTGCAGCTCGTGCTTGAGCTCGTCCAAATCGCGTGTGGTCGCTGGCCGGCCGGCCGCGCCTGACGCACTGTCAGCCGGGCCAAACAGCCGCGCCTCGAGCTCGGCCAGCTCGCGCGCGTCGGCCTTGCCCGCCAGCAGCGAGGCCACGTCCTTAACATTGGCCTTACTTGCGAGCGCCACATCGAGCTCGGCCCGCAGCTCGCGGCCCGAGGTCTCCAGCGCTTCGTCCATGACCGACATCGTCGCCGCCGTCTGCTCACGGATGGCGGCGACGACGTTTGACTCGAGCGAGTCGACCGTCAGCCGCAAGTTGGTGTCCATTGTCGACGCATCGACCTTGGTGTTGATCACCCCGGTCATGTTCATCAGTTCGCGGTTGATGGCCTCGTTCATGTTGACAACCGCGTCGTCAAACTTGGAGATCTCCACCTTGGACTCAAGCTCGGCAATCGTGGCTTCGCGGAGCCGCTCCATCTTCTCCAGCACGTCGTCAACGTCGCGCTTGTGCGCCTTGGTCGCCAGCTGCGCCGCCAAGTGTGACCGCAGCTCCTCGAGCTCGTGCGCCCGCGCTGCCGCAGCCTCGCCGCCCGCAGACTCGACCGCCTTGGTCATCGTCGTCGTCAGCGCGTCCGAGAGCTGGGCGTTGGAAATCTTGCCGGCAAGCGCCGAGTTGAGCTCGACCGAGAGCGAGTTGATCTCGGCCCGGAGCTCGGCCACTGTCCGCCCGAGTGTGTTGTTCAGCTGCAGCTCTGAGACCCGAGCCGCAAGCTTGTTCTGCATCTCGTGCTTGTCGTTGAGCACGTCGCGCTTAAGCGCGTTGAGGTCTGCCGCCGGAGCGAGCGTCGTCACCACATCCTGCGTGTGTGCAATGTCGTGCTCCATCGCCGCCAGCTTGCCCTCCAGATCAGCGGCCGATGGCCGGCCGTACAGCTCCTTGGTAAACGCCGCGTTGAGCTCAGCAATGCGTGCCTCGAGGAGCTCAGCAACCGCCTCTGGCGTGGCCTTCTTCTCTAGCGCAGCATTGACAAGATCGACGTCGGCCTTCTTGGCCAGCACCGTGTTGACGTCGGCAATCGACGCCTTGCTTGCCAGCTGCTCCTCCACCGCCGCCGCATTGGCCTTAAGCTGCAGCGCCGCCGCTACCGCATCCTTGTTTGCCTTGAGGTTGAGCGACTCGTTGACGTCCACAATGTTGGCCTTGAGGTCCAGCAGCGACTGCAGGTCCGAGATGTGGACCTTCTTGTCGAGCTCGGCCACCACATCGCGGGCGTCAGCCTTAGTCCCCAGCTCTGACGACAGGTTCTCAATTGACCGAGCCACTTGCTCCAGCAGTGCGTTGACGTCTGCCACAGACGCCTTGGTCTCGATCACCCGCGTTGCCTTCTGCACATCGCCTAGCGACGCCTTCTCCGCCAGGCCGAGAAGCATCTCCTCGCGGTTGGCCTTGCGCTCCAGGACCAGTGCCATCTCTTCGGCGTTGGCCTTCCGCCTCAGTTGCTCTTCCACCAGCCGCACGTCGGCCTTGGCGTCCAGCACATGGATGACCTCGGAGAACTGGTCCGCCACTTCAGAAAGGTCGGCCTTGCGATCGAGCATGGCCACCACCTCAGAGGCCTCGGCCTTGGAGTCCAGCACCCTAACGACGCCCCCCATCACCGCCCCATAAAGTTCGTTCCTCATGAGTGCCACTTCCTCTCTCCTGCTATGCTCCTCCCTGCTCCTCCCGCCCCGCCCCGCTCTCCATAACCGCGCCTGCGACTTTGGCGCCCTTTTCCTGACTTTGGCGGTGATCAAGGCAGCGATCGCCACGGCACGGCAGGCCGTGCCTTCGCCGCAACTTGGACAAGACCAGGGCAGTCAGATGAGAATGGACGTACTTGTTGAGCTCTGTAAGACGACGGTTGATGCCGTGAATGTCTGTGGCGTTTGCTTTCTGGGCGAGGAGGCCCTGCATCTCCCCACGCGACGCCTTTTGCTCCAGCATGCGCTCCAGGCGGGAGATGGCCTCGGCCTGTGCAGCCAGGGTATGCTCTTGGGCATGGACCTTCTCGGTGAGGTACTTGAAGGTAAAGCGCACAACCTCTTGGATGTTGCGCCATTCGTTGAGTCCATTCGCCATGTCCTCCACCACGACACTCCCCGACATCGTCCCTCGGTAGTGTTGCAGCGACAAGTGCCTCCGTGTCTCGGCCGGCAGGTTGGCGCCAAAGCCAGAAGAATGCCGTCCGTCCACCCGCCTGTCGAAGACGAGCACAAGCCGCCCGCCAACCGCGCGCGCGCACGCTAACCCGACCATCTGATCAAGACCATCAACTCCAGCCAAAAGCCATCCATGCCGACAACTCTGGCAGGCGGTCGATCAGGCCACTTCTCACCAAGACCATGACGATTCGTCCAAGCCGTCGTCGTCAATCAGTGCTTGAGGCTGCCCTGCGCTGCGCGGGGGGGAGGGGGGGGGGGGGGGGGGGTATCCTCAGCCGTAACACCTTCTCTTCTTCCTCTCCTCCTTCCCATCTTCCCATCTCCCCCTCTCAACGATCCGACGACGCATCCTCGTCTACGGTGAACATGGCTGCGAACGAGATCAAGACGATGCCCTTCACCGCATGGCTCCACTAACCGTCACTTGATGCCATTCCTATCATTCGTATCGGCATGTAGTGGTTTGGATAAGTAGAGCAACCATCTCCATCAAGATGCCCGCCCACCCATCACCCATGCCATACCCCCCCATCCCCACCCCTCCACCCCCGTTACCGCCTGGCCCCCGCCCCTTATCCTCACAAACTAGGCAATAGCAAAATGATGGGAAAGAGTACGTACGAGGGCAAGTGAGTGAAAGGCAGCCAGTCATGACACCGCTGTCTCGCTTCCCCTCGCATCACCACGCCACTCCACGCCAACCAAGACAACCAAGAGGGAGACAGCCTCATCCAGACGACTTTTCATGTCGTCTACCACAAGATCCAAGCGAGAGGTACGTTCTTCCCTTCCCCATCCCCCTCCCTCCCTCCCCTCCTTCCCTCCCCCACTCCCATCCCCTACGGAACCCCTCCCCTCAAGGTCTCGGTCACCCGCTTTACCGTTGTTCGTTCCAACGCATTGTCGCATCCAACGGCTGCCACCGCCACAGGCCAACGCCCCCCACCCCCCCCCCACCCCCACCACCACCACCACCACCACCACCACCACCACCACCACCACCACCATGGCAACTGACGGTATGGAGAACCTGTTGGCGGTGGAACACACGCAATGACTTACCCTTTCTCTCTATGTGTGTGTATATGTGTGTGTGTGTGTGTGTGTCTGCTGGCCTTGGCTGGCGCGCTTGGAATGGTGGACGGACGGTCGGACGTGACGTGCTGGACGGACGGACGGACGGGCTTGATGTGTCGTGCTGGACGTGTATGTGTATATATGCCTCGCCGCTTGGACAAACCCTGTACAAATCCTGTGCTTGTTGTCATCGTCCTGCTTGTCGTCGTCATCGTCCTGCTTGTCGTCGTCATCGTCCTGCTTGTCGTCGTCATCGTCCTGCTTCTTGCTGCCAACTTATCGTCATCATTGTGGTGGATGTGGTTGATGGCGGGGCTGTAGGCTACCGAGCCAGCTTGTCGATCTGCGGTGGAGCTCAAACGGCAACGCACTCTAGCTCATCATTCTGCAACTACTCCGCCTCCAGCGGTGATTGTCCACCACCCTTCCACTGGTAGTGGGCTTCCCTCGTCAGCATCGGCCTCGGTCTCGGCATTAGCATCGCCATCGTCGGCTGCGACTCGTTCGGAGACTCTCGCATCGGCATCAGCTTCTGCCGTGGTGGCCATGGCCACGGAATCGCATGTGCCAGTGCCGTCGACGCGAACCGCTCTCTTGCCAGAGCTCAACGCATCACCCTCGCCCTCGCCCTCGAGTCCACCTCGTGAGCAACTCGCAGATCCTCCAGTTGTCCCGCCGTCTCCGCCTGGAAAGAGCACCCCGTGTCCGCGCCCGGCAGGCCGCCTCGACTCAATCATCGCGTCGGCACCGCGGAGAAAGTCAAAGGCCGAGACTGGACGCTCGTCATCGTCCTATCATGAATCGTCATCGGGAAGCACCTCCGTAGGCGGCGTCTCGTTCTCCTCGCTCTTTTCGCCCGTCCTGCAGCTCTTCTCTCACTCTGAGCTGCCGTCGGACCCGTTTGACTCGGCCATGTTTGCCCACGACGACGATCTCATGTCTCTGGCATCATCATCAGCCGCCTCGTCGGCTACCTCGTCGGCTGCCTCGTCGACTACTGTCTCGCCTGCTGTCTCCCGGCTGGGCGTCGCGCCGCCGTCGATCCGCCGCTGGGGCGGCTCGCCCTCGCGCGCACAACCTCGCATTGGCTTCTCCATTAGCCAGGCCTCGGGCTTGTCGCCAGTCCGGCGCTCGGAGTCCTCATCATCCAACTCGCTCTTTGCCCGCTACCTCGAGGCGTCGGACCCGTCGTCGTCGCTTCTCGCCTTCGACGGCCTCGATGGCCTCGACGGCCTCGACGGCCTCGACGACGATGTCGCTGACTCGAGCTCGCTGTCACGACCGCCGCTCGGCACCAATGTGCCAGGGCGGAGCCCCTTCGCCACCGCTGTGGTCGATCGCCCAGTCCCATCGCCGCCGCCGCCACCGCCGCTTGACGCCTACCCGCTGCCTGCGGCCGACGAGAATGAGAGCCCGTCGTCGCTGGCCCCGCCATCGCATGAGGTCGAGCCTGCCTCGGACGAGATCGACCCATACGTGTTCATTTACAACTTGCCCGCCCTCCCGCCGCGGTCCATCGGCGGCCCGTTTGTCCTCCCTCCCAAGGCGGCCGACGACAACCGCATCACCCTCGTTCTTGACCTCGACGAGACCCTTGTCCACTGCACCATGGAGCCGGTCTCATCTCCCGACATGGTCTTCCCCATCTATTCGGAAGGCCGCACCTTCTCTGTCTATATGCGCAAGCGCCCGCACTTTGAGGCTTTCCTGGCCACCGTGTCTCAACTCTTCGAGGTTGTTGTCTTTACCGCCTCGCAGGAAGTCTACGCCTCGGCGCTTCTCGACCTCCTTGACCCTGATCACGTTCTCATTGACCACCGGGTCTACCGTGAGTCGTGCGCCAACATCGGCGGCAACTACATCAAGGACCTCACTGTCCTTGGCCGCGACCTTGCCCGCGTTGCACTCATCGACAATTCGCCGCAGGCTTACGGCTACCAGCTTGACAACGGCATCCCCATCCGCTCTTGGTACGACGACAAGACCGACACCGGCCTTATCCAACTCTTGCCGTTCCTTCGCTCGCTGGCCACAGTCGACGACGTCCGGCCCATCATCCGTGCCGCCTTTCAGTCGGCTGCCGTTGTCTCACGCCGCGGTCGCAAGCATCAGGCTTTCTCCAAGATCTTCTGAGCGATAAACACGGACTTGTAACTGTGTTTGCTACCCGCAACCGAGCCAGCTCCCTGCTCTCATCACATCCCCCTCCTCCCTCCGCCCCCCGTACCCCGCCTGCCCCGCTCTCCCGGAGTCTGCTCTCGGTACAAGTCTGCCCATCATGGACTTTGGTCGATCGGGCGGGACAACTGCGTCTGCTCTCGGTGCCAGTCTGCCCATCATGGACTTTGGTCGATCGGGCGGACAACTGCGTCTGCTCTCGGTACCAGTCTGCCCATCATGGACTTTGGTCGATCGGGCGGGACAACTGCGTCTGCTCTCGGTACCAGTCTGCCCATCATGGACTTTGGTCGATCGGGCGGGACAACTGCGTCTGCTCTCGGTGGTACCAGTCTGCCCATCATGGACTTTGGTCGATCGGGCGGGACAACTGCGTCTGCTCTCGGTGGTGCCAGTCTGCCCATCATGGACTTTGGTCGATCGGGCGGGACAACTGCGTCTGCTCGGTACCAGTCTGCCCATCATGGACTTTGGTCGATCGGGCGGGACAACTGCGTCTGCTCGGTACCAGTCTGCCCATCATGGACTTAGGTCGATCGGGCGGGACAACTGCGTCTGCTCTCGGTACCAGTCTGCCCATCATGGACTTTGGTCGATCGGGCGGGACAACTGCGTCTGCTCTCGGTACCAGTCTGCCCATCATGGACTTTGGTCGATCGGGCGGGACAACTGCGTCTGCTCTCGGTGGTACCAGTCTGCCCATCATGGACTTTGGTCGATCGGGCGGGACAACTGCGTCTGCTCTCGGTACCAGTCTGCCCATCATGGACTTTGGTCGATCGGGCGGGACAACTGCGTCTGCTCGGTACCAGTCTGCCCATCATGGACTTTGGTTGATCGGGCGGGACAGCTGCGTCTGCTCTCGGTACCAGTCTGCCCATCATGGACTTTGGTCGATCGGGCGGGACAACTGCGTCTGCTCTCGGTGGTACCAGTCTGCCCATCATGGACTTTGGTCGATCGGGCGGGACAACTGCGTCTGCTCTCGGTGGTGCCAGTCTGCCCATCATGGACTTTGGTCGATCGGGCGGGACAACTGCGTCTGCTCTCGGTGGTGCCAGTCTGCCCATCATGGACTTTGGTCGATCGGGCGGGACAACTGCGTCTGCTCTCGGTACCAGTCTGCCCATCATGGACTTTGGTCGATCGGGCGGGACAGCTGCGTCTGTGGCCACTCCACCCCCCTCCCCCGCCAGAGACCGAGACCGGAGACCACCTCACCTCACCCCCCCCCCAAAGCAAGTGAGGGGTGGGCAGGGATTTGGAGGCAATGCTACGACGACCAAGCTCTGCACCACATAGAGTGAGAAGAGGGCATGAAGGAGGGCAAGGCGGTGGTCAGGCTGGTGCGGCGGCTGGTCAGAGCGGTGGTGGCCACGGCAACAGAGCCAACAAGGACAGCAATCATGGCAAGGGAAGTAGACATGGCAAGGGAAGCAGACTAGATGGGGATGGACCAGAAAGGGCATGGGCACGACCGGGGACTGGCCTTGCCACCCACAGCGAGGGAAGCGATCAAGGCCGGAGAGAACACCACCAGACAGAGGCGGTGGACGACTATGGGCGGGTGCTGCGTCCGGCTTCCATGGCCAACGCCAACACACACTTGTATGCTCCACGACCACCACCACCACGTCCGGCTACTGCTGGATCTCGGCGTATTCGTCCGGTCGAACCGTTGCTCTCGTCGCATTCAGGGTATCATGGCTTAACGGTGCGATCGGGCGGCTCACCTCGTCCGGCTTCGGCTCATCCGCGCTCTCAGCGCTTGGCTACTGCTCCGCTACCGCTCAATGTCGAGCGGAGTATCGATGTTCTGGTCCCGTCTCCTCCGCATGGTCGTCCAGCTTCCCGGTCGGTCCTGCGTGTCGTCCCGGATCCAGCCCTTGCTGTTGAAGGCGAGCAACTAGCGGTGGCCGGTGACCAGCTTGAGCCGCGGACTGCTGCTGACGAGCTTGCAGACTTTGCTCTGACCTCCGAGGCTTCAGCTGCGCTGGCTGCCACCTATCCGCGGCTGGCTAGCTCACTCCCAACCCCGTCGCCGCGGGCCGGAGCGTCTCTGGTGCGGTCGCTGCGATCGCCGGCTGCGGCGCCGGACTCGGGCTCGACTCTGGCCGCCACAGGCTCGCTACCGCGCGGCGCGGGCTGGGCCGCCCCGCGCGATGTCCGCGGCATCTGGCAGACACTCTACCAACAGTATCTTGGCGAGGAGCTGGACATCGAGCTGGCGAGGACTCAGTCACCCTCGCAGCCGCACCCGTCGTCTGCAAGCCGCCGCAGTCCCGAGTCAGCTGGCGATACTCCGCCGCTCATGCCGCGCGCAGCAGCCAAACCGCCGCGGCACTCATCGAAGCGGGTTACGGTGTCGATTGCGGTCGACACGGCAGACTTGCTTGGCTCCGACGACGGCTGGTCATCATCTCCGCCTTTGATGCACCATGACCTTGCCATCCCCCACCGACCGCGCACCTCACACACCCGCCGGCGCCCACCGCCAAGCCTGACACTGTTCAACAACGATCGCAGCTCAAGAGAAACTACGCCCACGCCGCCACACTCGCGTCGTCGGGCGAAAAGCACCAGCACCGGTCGGCGGGCGTCTCGCAAGAGAACCGGATTGCGCTCCCACTCTAAGAAGACCCGAACTAAGAAGGCCAGCCGCTCCCGCAAGCGGTCGCGCCGTGCACGCCCGGCCTCGGCTTCTGCGCACACTCGACCGACCCGTGCGGAGCGCCGGCGCGAGCGAGACCTCCACGCGCGGCCGTGGCGCCACAACGCTGCGCTACCGCGCCCCACCTCGGCCTTATCCTCATCAGGCCCGATACCTGCAACCCCGCCGCAGCGGCCTGCCACGGCCGCCGGAGGCATGAGCATACGCAAGGCTGCTGCGCTGAGTCGGACCTCGAAAATGGCCGACTCAAGCACCTCTCGCCTCAATGATTCGGTCACGCTCGCCCAGTTCAGAATGGCTATCGACAAGGAGGCGTTGCCAACGGCACGCGCGGTGGCAACAGCGCGGACAGCGTCGCTAGCCGCCGGCGAAGTTGCTCAACTCCAGTTTCTGGAGCGAGTGACCCATATGGCGGCCATCGCTGGATCGCCCGGTGCGCGGACGATTGCGGATCGACTGAGCAGGAAGCGGGATGCCATACCGCATGTCGAGGTTGCAAAATCGTTTGATGACGAGAACCCGCTTTTCTCCGAGACTATGCCAGCTTTCCGCAATGTTACCATGTTTGCCGGCAACGCGCCCGACACGCAGGCCAAGGATGGCGACAACAGCGGAAGCAATGACGGCGCCGACGTTAACCTTTCGGCATCAGCAGAGCTGGAAGGCGTGCTGAGTCGCACCAGCTCGAGCAGCTGGCGGCGACGGAGTCGGGTTGATTCCGGCTCGCACAAAGAACGTGCTTTGTCGGTCCGTTTCGAGACCGAAGCCTTTGGTCCGCGGGCGCATCATGAGGCCGCAGTGTACTTTGACGTCCTGCGCAAGCGCAAGCAGGAAGAGGAGCGGGCTACGGCGTACAAACGATCGATGTCGGCGCGAATCCGGTTCGAGAAGGAGCGGCGCGAGCGGCAGAAGGCTGAGAAAGAGGCGCGCCGCCGCGCCCGCGAGGAGCGGATGCGCCGCGAGAAGCTCGCCCGCGAGATGACTAGCACTATCGAGGTCGAGCTCCAGGCGGCGGTCATTGCTCGCAACGAAGTCCGCAAGCGCAAGGCCAAGGCTAAGTTCAAGCAAGTCCTCGCGCACTGGTGCATGGACCACGCCACGGTTGTTCGCCAGAATATGGTCCGGGCCGAGCGACCTCGCGAGGCTGAGCTCCGCGCGGCCGAGCGGCGCAAGCGAGCCGAGGAGCAGGCCAAGACCCGGTCGCGGGTCATCCAGCGCAAACGTGCCGAGATGGAAGTAGTCCGCGCCCGCGCCCTCGAGGCCAAGCGGCGCAAGCAAGAGGAGGCTGCCCGCGAGGCCGCCCGGCGCGCCTTTGACCTCAAGGTCAAGTCAATGCGCCGCGCAGTGTTTTTTGAGCTTGAGGAGCGTGCCGTCGCTCGCCGCGAGGCCGAGCGCGCCGCCGCCGAAGAGGCGAAGCGCCTCGCGGCCTTTGACGCCTTTCTCTCACGCCAGCAGCAGGCTGCCGCCGCCGTAGAAAAGCTTCGCTCAAAGCTGCAGACCAATCCGCAGCTGGCTGAGCTCGAGGCCCACCGGCCGGCAACGACTGAGGAGCGGCTGGAAGCCGTGCTCACCCGGATCGTCGCCACATCGGAGGCGCTGGCCGATGCCTCTGGGGGCAGCAAGCCGCACTCATAGCTGCACCTTCAACCAACAATGTCGACGTGGAGTCGCACGGGCTCGTCGCCCTCTGCAGCCAGCGGCAAGACCCGGCCGTGGAGGTCACGACGAGCGGCACGGGCGAGGGCCGGCGAGGCCAGTGTGGCAAAGTAGACGTTGTGGTGCGGACGGCGGACAGAGTCGCGGCGGGCAAAAAGTGAACCAGGCTCATCGCGATGAGCCAAGAAGGGATAGTCTTTGAGCAGCTCCATAACAGCGGCAGCATTGGCCAAATGCGGCGGGAGAAAGCGGAGGGCGAGCATGTGCGCGCCGTACTCGCCGAGATGGCCAGCCAGCTTGCGATAGCTGGCCGTCCGCGAATCAGCAGTCTCTGGCCCAGCCGGGGCGACAATGACATCACGCATATGCATGCCATGTTTGATGCGACCCCCCAGCGGCGATCGAGCCTGTGCAGCAGCAACCACCTCCTCTGCATGGTCATCCGACTCGTAGCCGGCAAAGAACGAGCCCGTGGGGAGCAGGACGGGGTCTCGTGCCGGGAGCAGAACCGAGGGAGAAGGTGCCGAGGGAGCCAGAGCAGCGAGAAAGGCCACAACGTCGTCAGAGGATGCAGTAAAGGGTACATGCATGAGGTGGACTGTCCGACTTGCGGTGTAAAGCCCACGAATACCCAGCCCAGCACACCGCAGCATAGTCGGAGTGAGGGGTAGGGGGGTAGGGGGTAGGGGGGGGAGGTTGGGTGGAGTGCGAGGGGGAAGGGGATCAACCGAGGTGAGGGGTGAGGTGGGGGGGGGGGGGGGGGTA